CCCCCACTATCAGTACAGGCTGGGGGATGAAGGGACTGAGAGCAGCCCTGCCTAGAAGGACTTGGGGGATAGTGGTGGATGAGCTGGACATGACCCGGCAATGTGCGCTTGCAGCCCAGAAGGCCAACCATATCCTGGGCTGCAGTGTGTCCAGTAGGTTGAGGGAGGGGATTCTGTCCCTCTGCTTTGCTCTGGGGAGACCCCACCTGGAGTCCTGTGTCCATCTCTGGAGCCCTCAGCACAAGAAGGACATGGAGCTGTCGGAGTGGGTCCAGAGGAGGGCCACAAAGATGATCAGAGGGCTGGAGCACCTCTGCTGTGAGGAAAGGCTGAGAGAGTTGGGGCTGTTCAGCCTGGAGAAAAGAAGACTGCTCGGAGACCTTGTTGTGGGCTTTCAGTACTTAAAGGAAGCCTGTAGGAAAGATATGGAAAATCTTTTTGCAAGGGCCTGTAGTACTAGGACAAGGAGTAATGGTTTTAAACTAAGGAAGGGTAGATTTAGACTGGATATAAGGAAGAATTTTTTCACAATGAGGGTGGTGAAACACTGGAGCGGGTTGCCCAGAGAGGTAGTGGAGGCCCCATGCCTAGAAGCATTCAAGATCAGGTTGGACTGGGCTCTGAGCAACCTGACTCACTGCAGGGGGCTTGGGCTAGATGACCTATAAAGGTCCCTTCCAACACAAAGCATTCTACGATTCTAAGATTCTAATTTTGTGGTTGTGCTCTTGCTTTCATTGCTGCTGTTTATTTTGCTTTCTTCAGTTCTGTCTCCCAACAAGGTTTGGAAAGGAAGCAAGAAAAATTGGATGAGAGTGGAAGTGGCAATATTGGGAGAGGGAATTTAAATCATAGTACAAGATTGAACAGTTACAAATATTGTCATGGTTAATTTAAACAGGGAGTTTAGATGGTATAAAAGCACCTGAAGAGTAAAGGTATTCTAAATAAGGTAGAGGACAAGCAATATGTGTTGTTTATATTGAAGATTCAAAGTTTAGGGACAAGGTTGATCCCAGAATGAGAAATGTTAAGTCCTTCAGTGTTCCAGAAATGATGAACTGAAACTAGATTATTGTGTGTTCACATTCATTTTCATTTTATTTCTGTTGTAGTAATCCTGTGTTTCAGGATTTCTCCCTGTCATTGGCAAAATTTGTAAAGGAAAGGGCTCTTCTGCCTCTTGCATCCTCGCTATCCCCAAAGATGTATAACTTGGGTTTCCAGTTCTTCACTGCCCTCCCTGCAGCACTGGGAAGGCTGCAGTAATAGGCTGAGTAAGACTGTGTTAGGATGAACCAATGGTTTTGAGACCTTAATCTCTTATAGTACCACCTTGGTGTATTTTACTCACGTGCTCAAGGTTAAACTAACCACCAAATTTGGGATCAGAAAGGAAATTTTCCTTGATTAATTTGATAGAGATAACAGATATTTCTTTTTCCTTACTCCATAGTATGGAGACTGAAGCAATGCTGTGAAGGCTTGAAGAGGAGGTATTCTAGTTGCTGTAGCTTCCCTGCTGAAGGAATGAGAATCTGGATAGTATGTGGGTAGGGAAGCAGCTAGATTAAACAGCTAGCTAAGGTCTGCAGCAGTCACTCATGACACTGAGTGGAGGAAGATGTTCACATATAACGATACGTAGCATGACTAGAGCATAGCAGTGCTGCTAATAGGTAGTGTCTGCATGCATACTTAGAGGTGTGGGCAGAGCAGAAGTGCCTGGAGGAAACCATAAATGGCAGAATAAATGGTGTGATATAATACATAAGGACCTAATCAAATGCACATAATAGAGATGTTGATGTACTCTTTGGAGTTAAGCTATTGAGCAGCTGGATGGTATTTTGTGCTGTTCGGGCACTAGTGCACAGCTTTACATGTGCAGCCTGCTGTTATTGCTCTGAACAAAGAGTCCTGTATGACAAATCTGGTGCTGAGCTGACCTGTGACAGCGGCAGGGTTGGGTGAGTCTGGTCCTTGGAAATGAGATCTGATGTGGGCGCTGAAGCAGACAATTATGGCTGTGCAGTAAGAGCTGCCCTGCACGCTGGGGTGTTAGTAGGGAGCTAGGCTTCCTGAGCCTGTAGCAAACACTGGGACAGAGCAGAGAGTGAGAAAGGCAGACCTGAAAGCAGCAGCCTTCAGAATCACACGAGAAATTCATGTAAAGTGGTGGTCTTTGTTGTAGGGATAAAGCTCATTGGCGTGACCTTGAATGCTATCTCGTCCCCACTTGTGGTACATTTGTTGGCAATGGGAAAGCCTTTATGACTCCAGTCCTTTATACCCTGAATTGCAGCTCATGTTCATGTCTCTGGTGGCGGAGGACTGGGCATGATGATCAGTGTTGCCT